TTAGCAATGTGTCAAAATCAAAATGATGATAATAATAACAAAATATTAGCTTAGAATTTAAATGTGGTGAAAAAGCTCTTTGCTTTACTGTTAGTGATGATCACAGCAAAAAGAGAAACAGACTCCTTTAAATTTAAGGAGACAAAGGTAAATTACAGCTACTGCATATTCTTTCATTGCTTTTTTCAGGTGACAGTAAATGCCCCCTTAACTTCATGCCTGAACGGAGTATGTCCTGCTGACAGCAAGGATGCACAAATGACCACCACCTTACACCCTCTCACCAGTCACCCTGCTTCTACCCCAGCAAAGGCTTGTTTTCATCTGCAAGGCTCCTGTAACACACCCACATGCAAATGCTTTTGACCTTAATTAAAGCAGTTCACCTCTCTCTGCCTCTAGGGATGGTTTCCTCATAAGGCAGTTGTGTTTAATTAGCATTTGCATAGCATTCTGCTGGTTGCTTTCCTGGAGCGTTGTTCAGTAGGAGCGTGGGATTGCTGAAGCCTGACTGGCAAGCTTTGCACCCTCCTAATTGACACAGAAGCCAAGTAGAAGTTACACAAGGAAAGAACAGAGAATCGTTAATGATGGATCATTAGCAAGTAGCTCCTTTGAATGAATGTAGATAACTTTATAACTCTATCAAAGTGAAAAGTAGCGTGATGAATTATGCATCAAACAATAAAAGCTCAAGGAAGACACTGGTTTTATAATTGCTGTGCAATTTTCCAGCATGCTCTAGTTTGTAAGATTAATTTTCTTTGGGAAGCATGAAGCATTCTGTCTGTTGCACATCATGTCAATTTTGGTTTTCTCTCTTTAGAGATTTTATTCTATGTCTTTCAATATCACTGCAAAAACTCCCAGTGTTTGAGATCTATAATTTTTTATGTTAGCAAAAATTTGCACAAGTCTATAGTTGCTAAACCATTGAGGGTTTGCTGATTTCTTGGTGCAACGAGCTCCCAGATACACACACATGAAATAAGATTGCTTTGTATCTTTTCTTTTTAGTAGAAATTGCATAATAGTTCTGTGGCCATGTTGAATTTCTAGACTAATAAATCCCTAAAGGGCATTTTTACTTTGAAATTATCATCACAAGCATTTCAGCTGGCACAGAGATAATTCCTGTGGCTTGCACTACTGCCAGTTCTGCTCTCCTAGGGCTCCTACTCGCTCCTAAGAGACAAATTAATACAACTATTGCCCAGTGATGTCACCTTTCCCTTTAAAATGTACTCATCTCTCACTGAAATTTCCCTCTGGAAATTGAACTCTGTGTTTGAAGTGAGTAGAATCAGGGGAACATGTTAATAGAAAACTTATCCCTGATGTGAGCTGCTTCTTAGCTTCCATATTATAGTGAGTGAAAGGGTCTGTGAGAGATCTAATCCACCAGAAATCCTCAGGGATCAGCTGTGGGATCAACCATTCTAGAATAAATCTCCTTTCTAAAGACTGGATTGATACAAACACCACAGCCTCATCCCATGGCTTGTTTCAGCATTTTGCTACCCCTACCATTATAAAGGTTTATTTTTTGTTCCCTACCATTTCCTTTGTTGCAATTTAAGTCAAGTATTTCTCATCATGGACATGAAAAAGGATTTCTTTCCCCCTTCCAGGAAGTTTGCATGAATTTTGGGGGGCATGGTTAGGGTTTATTTTAGTGGTAGTAGTGGGGGTTTTATACATTTTTTTGAAAACAGTTTTAAAGTTGTTTTTCTCTAGCCTTTCTCTTTAGGTCCATGATCCCCCTTGGTTCAATCTCTCATGTTTCCTGTGAAAATTTCTGTTGCTGTTTCGTGGAAGCTCTCAGGTATTCCAGATGGCTGTGCAGTGGGGGCCCCACACCAGACACTGCTCCAGCTGTGACTTGCCAGCTCTTACTAGAGCAAAAATGTGTCCTGCAGGCATCTTTCTTGTTTGTACACCCCTGTATGATGCTTGCCTTTTTCGCAACAGCATGATGTTGTTGACTCATCTTCACTTTGTAATCTAGAATAACCCCTAACTATTCCTACTTTCCTGTTTGTCCCCTGCCCTGTATTTATGTAATGAAACATAATTCCTTCCCCTTGACAGTATTGAATTTCACCCTCTTTTATCAGACCATTTCTCCAGCGTAGCCAGGTCATTGTAAAATGTGCTTCACAGGAAGTTTTAGCTTTTGAAGTCCTCAGAAAGCTGAGCAGGTAAGATCTGAGTTCCATCAGCCGTCCAGGTAAAAATAAACTGATACGTGCTTCATACTGAACAGATTCCTCTGGAGCTCATTTAAAATGTTCTGTTTAAAAGATTCCAATAAGCAATTCTCTGAATATGATTTCCCTCTCAGTATTGCACCTGGTTTTGGGTTTATCTAGACCTTGTTTCTTTAGTCAGTTTATGGAAAATAACAGAATTTTCTTCCTGAAAGTCAAATCTTGATTTGGTGTCCTACGGGTTGAAGAGTGTGCTGGTCTTTTCTGGGGTAGAGGTAATTTTCTTTACAGTGTCTGGTATGGGACTGTGTTTCAGATTTGTGCTGAATACAGGGCTAATAATATAGAGATTCTTAAAAATTGTTGAGCAGGGCTTTCACAAAGCCTTTCTGGCTTCTCATATTGCCACACTGGCAAGACTGGGGGCACATGGGAGATTGAGAGGAGACATGACCAGGACAGGTGACCCCAACTGACCAGAGGAACATGCCAGATTGTATGACATCAAGCTCTGTATATAAAGTGGGGTAAAGAAGGATGAAGGGGGGAACTTTTGGAGTTTTGGCATTTGTCTTCCCAAGTCACTGTTACATGGCCCTGCTCCCCTGGAGGTGGCTGAACACCTGCCTGCCTATGGGAAGTAGAGAATTCTTGTTGTTTGTGTGCAAGGCTTTTGGTTTCCCTATTAAACTCTCTTTATCTCAGCCTGTGAGTTTTCTACCTTTACCTGTTCTGATTGTCCCTCTGATCCCACTGGTGGGGGTCTGAGCAAATGGCTGTGTGGGGCTTGGCTGCTGGCTGGAGTTAAACCATGACAGAGGGTCATCTCACCTGGCCTGATGTCTGGGTGGTAAAGCTCCCCATCTAGGGCACTTGTCTACCCTTTCCTCTGTGCAGAAACACAGGTGATCACAATTCATCTGGCCAGGTTGACTCATTTACCAGTGTCTTAGAAGACACTTGTAAGTGTGTACTTTCATCTTCAGTATCTCCAAAGGTGTCTAAGAAACTAAACTTCTATATCTAGATTATTGATATCTAAATTTAGATGGGATGTATCTCTCCTCCAGCCCTTTTCCAGGTAGAAAGACAAGAGATCACACACACAATTTGTTCTTAAGAGGTACATGCTGGCTGTTACTCCTCTGCTGAGTATTTTCATTGTGATTATTTTATCTAGTATTGAATGGAACTTGAAGTTAAATTATTTGGTCTGCAATTCCTCAATTGTAACTGCTTTCCTTTTTAAACTCAGAAATGATATATAGAATCCTGGAATCATCTGGGTTGGAAAAGACCTGTAAGATCATCAAGTCCAACCATTAGTCCTTCCAGGAGCATACTTGTCAGAAATGTACCAAATCAGCTTGAAAAATACTGTTTTTCTAGGCACCTTTTGTCTTATTTTGTCTTTCCTGGAGGTGGATACTTTACTGTATTAAACATTTGATTACAGTTCATGAAGACTGGCAAAAATTAATAAAATGGCATGTTTTGGCAGCTTGACTGACCTTTGCCAGCATCTCTCCTCAAATAAGTAGTAGCTTCATGTAGTGAATTTACCAGTTCATGCTGTGGTTCACTTCCCTTGCTGGTCAATAGTCTATTCAGAAATAAAACAAATGCTGTTCTGGTTTTTGAAATGTTCTTTGTATTTCTTTGCATTTCTAAGCAAAACTGTAGTTTCATAGACAAAGCTGTAATGAAATGTAACCTTTTTTGTAAATTCTTTTAATGATGTAATAAAAGCCATTACTATTAATAGAGGAATCCTTTTGCCTGTAGCATAAAAATGTTTTCAGTTTTGTATTAAAGAAGAGTTTTCAATTAGTACTTAAGGAAAATATTGTCCTCTCTTTCTCCATGAGGCAGGTAATCTTTCATTGCATGTGCTGAGTGCATACCTCACTTCTGATCCCAGCATAAATTTGTGGCTCATTCTCTTTTCTGAGTCTGGTAGTAAGGGCATAGCTACTTGTCTGCAGGGAGCTACACTGAAATCAGTTCACTACAGAGCACCACTAGAAGATGAGATCTGACTACCTGCAATAGAGCAAGACTTCTTATCATTGCCAGCTTCCAGATTTTCACTTTTGAAATCATTCCTGCCAGAGCAAATAAATCATTGTTGATTTTCTTATGGCTACTGCTACTTGTATTTCTGATAAAACATGTAAACCAAACTGGGGAATACCATGTCTATGCCTGCTGTCAGTTCTGTCACTGCAGGATAATGGAGCACACTGCAGAGGTATTTGAGCTGCTGCCAGCTGGAGATGGTGCTACCCATTGTCCCTGCACCTCTCTGACAAGAGTAAAAGTGTGTTAACATGACATTTAATTGTGTCCTTATGCTTGTGCTGCCTTGTGTTGTAGAAATGTGGGGATTTCTGCATCACATCCTGAGTGGGCTGGGCATTGCTGTTCAGGCAGCAGAGAGTGGAAGACTGACGACACAATATGACTCAAAGCACCCTGATATACATATATACATATACACCAATACCTATACATATATCTCTGAAAAAATGGGAAGATTTTCATAACATTTCATGACTATCCAGCAATTCTGCATTTGAGTGAACTATTTAAAACTGGCTTATTGGTATATTATTGCAAACTGGAATCTTTTTTTAGTCTGTAATTTCAGAATATAACATTTCTATGGTAAGGACTGCGATTAGAACTGGTGTGAAAATGAGGTACTTTCCTTTAAACTAAAAACTCAATATAAATATGGGTAGTAACTCTGGAAAATAATTTCCCTCCTATTTGTATTTTTTTTTCCAGGACCAGGTGTTAGATACAGTGAATTTGCTGTGTCACATCCAAAACCACCTCCACTTGTGGGACAACACACAGTGGAGATACTGAAGAGCGTGCTGGGGTATGAGGATGATGCTATAGAAGAACTGCTTTGCAGTGGTGCTGTGGCTCAGCATGAGGTCAGATAAGGAACATTAGCTACATTCCTTCACACTGAGTTCACATTACTTTGTCCTCTCTTTGCTCCCTTCAGTTTCCCTAATGGGACTCAAAAGAGAAGACATAATTTAATTCCTAATTTTCTTCCACGTGTGTTTGTATGATTTTAACACTGATGTATCAAATAAATAATCTCATGCTGTCTGAGTGAAAGATTTTCTTGGGGGGTTGGGAATAAATGTAATTATACAGTCCTGTGTGACTACTCATTCTCCCTACTTCACATGGAAAATGGAGTCCTTATCATAATTACAGTAATTGCCTAAACATTTGTCCCCAGAAAGACATGATGTTAGTGAAAAGAAGCAGAAGCTTTAAAATCCTTATACTAGACTCTCCAGTCACAGAAAGCTGCTTTGTGTCTTAATAGAAGGTAATTTATTTACAAATTGGTAGTTGATCTGATTGATTTTGAACAGAATTATTCATCCTGAAAACTTTGTTCATCTCTATTTTAGATCAAGAGTAACCATTGCACATTTTACCTCTATTCCGTGGAATTCCAAATTACTACTATGTCATTATATTACATTGCATAGTCATGACAATCTCAACATGTGAGCAGAAAGAAGCTGAAATTCGCACAGTTCTTCAGTTATCAAAAATACCTGTTCCAAGACCAGTTAAGAGACAAACTGTGGCTGAATAGTCTTCTGTAATTTTATTCAGAATGGTTCAGGGTACTCTTCATTAAACACTGGTTCACAGAAAACTACATGCTGAATGTTGAGTACCAAAACTTGCCTGATGGTTCTGTGGGTAGGTACTGATCCCTATCTCTGACTCTAGTTACCATCCAAACCACCTTCATTATGGAGAAAGCACAGGTTGAAATCTGTACCAAATTTTTGACTCAGTCCAACCTTCATGATTAAAACGTGGTGAGAGTTGACAGATCTTCTTCAAATTACATAAGACCATGTCCTTCAGTAGGGTCGCTCTTGAGAGTAAGGCACCATGCAGTGGAAGAAGCTGGAAGAATTTGATTCATGAGAAATAGTGAAGAAAATATTAAAGGAGAACCCTTTCTTCTCTATAAACTAGTTTGGTAGATCTTCACTTACAGAAGACATCCCAGGCTCCTCTGTGACAGTATATAATTTACAGCTAAAGTAAACTCAGTGTATGGGAAGGGTTTAACCTTTGTTGTGTGCGCACTGGGAGCGAGGCAAAGCCTTTCTATTCCTAGAACTGAATAAAACTAAAGTCAACACTCAACACACAATATCCATGTTTCTCTCAAAGTATCAGAAACAGGCCTGGCATTATAACTAGCTTGTCACTTTGTTTCCACTCTAACAAAGAAGATCCTCTGTATTACATTTGAACTTCACAATGCTGCATTACCTTCTGGGGGAAGAAAAGAAGTTATTACATAATCAAATTGCAGTGGAACCCCACTGTGGTTGCTTTTTTTTTTTTGAAGCCCAGTGTTTTGTTTCATTTGTTTGCTTGTTTTCTCTGGTTTTTGTGTTCTTCTAAGTTTTTTTTCTGCACTGCATTCCTGGCACCAAACACCATACTCTATCCATGTGTTAAAGACATCATGAGATCCTGGAAGAGTGACTTCTAAAATAAATATAGAAATAAGTCTGAACTGAGAATTGGGACACTGTAGGGGAAGAACTGAAAAGAACTGAAACTGAATTGGAAGAGATTTTGATATAGTCCACCTTCCTTTTAATCTAAGGGGAACATCCCCTTTTTAATGAGAAAAGCAGAAATTTGAATTCTGCTTCATATAAAATGGATGATTTGATATTGAACTAAACTTTGTTTACTAAAGAAAAACACTGTCAGATAACATTCAGAAATAAATGTTCTGGGTTTACTTTCCAAAGGGTTCTTTTCATCACATTTCTAAGAATCACATACACAAGGTATAGTAAAATGTTGCTTAGTTTTGTTAAGGAATTTCTAAAAAAATCAAGATTTTTTTTTTTCTGTTCTTTTCCAAGCAATGCAAATAGCTAATCACCGTATCCTTAGCTAATTGGCAGGGCTGCTTTGACTTTAACACGGTAATGCTGGTTTAAATAAGCTGAATATTGGGCTTTAAACTCCATAAAGGATTTTGTGCAGAGTTCACATGCAAACAGTGTTTCCCTTTCTTTTTATGCTTTTTCATTAGTGTTTTTCCTTTCCACTTTGCTGTGTTGACAGTCAAATGCCTAAAGGGACAATTGGAGACCTTATTTTGTCTCACCTCCAGCAGTTACTGCAACAGGAGAAATCCAGATACCATTTCTCAGTTTTTCAGTCAAACACATACAGACTCATGCTTACTCTTTAATTCAGAAATAAATGGAAGCCTTTAAACAGGAAGCTAGGAAGCCTTTAAATAGGAGTATCTGGAAGCTAGAAATTCCTTTAGCTTCCGACATCTGATCATGAAGTTGTACCCTTTCATAAGTTTTACTCTTTTGGTTTTGGATGATTTGGAAGACATTTAAATAATTACTATGACAATATTTAAGCTGTTATAATACACTTTTCCTTTAAAAATTGAACAAATAAATGCAGAAAAATATATTCAAACAACATTTACTGCACTCTTCCCAAGAATCTTCATGAATAGGTGTCTCTAGAAGGCAGTTGCATTTTGACAATATTGTAATTTCAAAATGGTTTTCTTGTACCTCAAAACTTGGAACCAGCCATTACATGGGATTCTAGAACTCATAAACTGAGATCCCTCCACTTTTGAGGAAGAAATGAAGTTTGTGATGACTATACACAGCTGTCTCTGGCAAGGAATATTTGTTTTTCTCTGCTTAAACTGGAAAGGAATCTTCTGGTGCTGCCATGATGTGAGTGTGTGTGGTACTTGCTTTAATTTGACTTGATTTATACATCACTGTGTTAAAAAATAAAATGAAGAAAAAGCCCCCAAAAGCAAAAGAGTGATACAGAACACACCTGTTGTCTAGTTCCAAACTGAATCCACTCACAGGTGTTTTCCAGGAAGCTTTACCTAGCATTGGAAAAGGAGCTTTCCATTTTGACATGTGCTCTTGATGCCATGGTCCATGGCCACTTTGGCTCCATTCTCTGCACTTGGGGATCCCATTGTTCTTGTATTATCTTCACTATTAAAAGTGTTTCCTCACCCCTCCTCATATAACTGTCTTACTTTCTTTTCCATGCAAGCTAGTAAAGATCTACAGCAAGTATAAATCACCCAGAAAACTGCAGAACTGGTCAGGGAGAGTCAGGAGGATTTTGTATAGCCCGAGGATCTCACCAAGGGATACTTTAATGTATCAAAAGAAAATTCCAATCAAATAATGGTCAAATGGACAGTAATGGATTATTCTTGCTCCTGAATGGATCTTGTTCCTGGTAACTCTTCCCCAGAACCTTCCCATGCACTTGGGAAGTCCTTGCATGCTTGTCTGCAATGGGTGCCCTGGAACTGACATACAAAGGAAGGTCTTTTTTGGTTAGTGGCCTGGAGGAACAATCTGCTAACTATCAGAAGCTCACCAGCCTCAGCAGTGATCCAGCTGATGTGCAAAAGCCAGTGAAGCCCTATTAATATGAAGAACAGTCTGTAAAAGAGTATCACTTAATCGTGATGAAGAGAAATGCTCTTTTTCTTCTCAGGTCTATAAAATCAAAATAAAAATGTTATTTTGTCATTTTTATATATTTTAATATATTAAAAAAAATCCAAAACAGAGAAAGGGAAAATATCCTTATCCTTGACTTGCATACAAAATATGAAAATCCTTTTTTTTTAAAAGTTCATTGAAATAAATTATGCATGGTGATATTAATCAGAGTTTTGGTCTTGCTTCTTCAGAAATTAAAGCTTGTCCCAAACATGTCTAGTGACACCATGTTGCGCATAGCAGTCAGAAATAGTTCTTCCAGGGAGTGTGCATGTGCTCAAAAACAGGGGAGAACATTTTCGTTAAATTGCCATATAGCTCTGCCACTCACAGAGCACTGTAAATCCTCAGGCCTGGTGAACCTGGAGATAAAAGGCAGCTAGGTATCTCTGTAATTGAAATGGTCTTGATTTCTTTTACTGTCTAGATGACAAGACACAGTTAATCCTTTGACCTTCCTAACATTATAGCACTGTTCTAAAACATATTTATTTCCGCAAAACATACTAAAATGAATTTAATTTCCAAAAGACAGAAAAGTTAAAGTACTTTCAGAGTTCAGGAATGCTGGCACAGCTGCTCACAATTCATGTCAGTGACATTAAACAGTGCCAGATACAGTACTTTTCTTAACTGTTTGTACATTGAGTTTAATGTGGCCTGATGAAATGCTAAAGATTATTAGCTGGTGAAAAAAAACCCAACGAACTTGAAAGCACTTCCTGTAGGATCAAGCAACCTCTCTACACAGAGACCTCCGTGATACTGGTCAATGTGATTAAAATACAGTGGTACAAAGTGATACAGTAACCTTTTAAAAGCTGACAATCAATCAATTCAATTACTGTAGGTTTCTGTTGTGACTGAATTTGGAACAGACATGAGAAAAATGCCTGGCATCACATGTGCCATGGGCCTATGAAACTTTTGAAAGATTAGTTTTTTGGCTCAGACTGTGCCAAAAAATGAAGGGGGACCCATGCAAGGGTTAAGTTGGAGAAAAGCTGTTAATCTTCAGGTTATTTTCTATTCCCTAGAGCTACAGCTAAAAATGAATTAGTAAGTACCAATTAGTTCTTAGTTATCAATAAATTCTTAAAAATCATAGTGTGAAGAGTATACAAAACTGCCTGCCTTAAAAAAAAACACCTCAATATGGTTTAATTTATAGTGATCAGTGTCACACTGCTTATTTACAAGGTACTCAGGGAAGCAGACTGGGGAGGAGCTGCTATTGCTTCACTTCAATTCTGTGCATCAGCTATTTCAATATTTGCCTAACAACTACCCCAAGTAGCCAAAAGACCTTTTAACAATAAAAAGAAATTTGAAGATATGTAACATGGTAGAGGAATGCATATGTAGCTCCCATTTCTTAAAGATCCATATTAGGAGAAGGTAAAGTTTCACATTAAAAAGTTGTGTATAAAAATGCAGAGCAGTGTGTACATTTCCCACTGAGACTGTCTTCTCCTGGTGGATTGAGCCTTGACTAAAGCAATCATGGGAGAAAACTGACAGTT